AAGTGACAGTGTGTAGTTTCCCTGGCTATAGAAGGCAGTAGATACCAAAGTCATTGCAAGCAAGCATTATTTTAGTGTTCAAGTAAGACCTTACCAACAGATGGCCCTTAGGGTCAAAAATCCTTAGGATTTGCAACTTCCAGCCAAAATAACATCAGATTCCCTTTCATCACTGGCATTGAGTGAAGAGGTAAATTTGTAAAACAACAATGTTTATCAATACATTTGCAGCGGCCTCTACTAGGAATGAATGCCTTGCAGGCCGTACTCAGGGCACAAAAAAGCACACAAACCCCTGGCTCAGCAGGAACAAGTTTGCGATATCACAAGAAAGCTTCAGACAGCAGGATTTAAGTATTTTTAAGGATTAAAGTATCTTTGAATTTGAATTTGAAGTCTTATTTCCTGATTTATGGACATCTCACCCTGGATTGGCAAACAGCAACACGACTACCACTGAGTTGCAATGTCGATGTTTTATCTCCACAAATAACAAAAGCCTGGAGAATTTCTGCTGTCTGGTGAAGTTGCTAATGCTAACCGTTTCGCTTCTGCTAGTCAAGGTGTTTCTTTGCTGTTTACTGGACGCTAAAACAACAGCCTTTCCCGTCGTGAGTCAAGATGAGGGAGTCCATGAACATAGATCTGTCCGGCTTCTCTAATCCTATCGTTTCATTGTTTATTTTCTATCAGACGCTAAAGCGGGAGATAGGTGTAGGAGACTATTTTCATGTTCAGCCTGCATGAAAACTCATAGAAGCTGGTTATAATCTGAAAAAAAGTGTTTAAATGGTATTTCAGTCAACCATACCTTTAAACAAACTGTCAAGTTTCTCAGAATGTCTAAACATTCTTGCCTCACAAACATCTTTCTCTTCAGGAAGCTTTGATTCTCCTCTATAACAAAAAGAAAACTACTACTAAAGTTTGGGACGATGCAGCGCCATGCTTCTGATAGCTGTTTGTGTTTCCTCTCTGTGCACAGAAGCCAGACGTGTGCTTTCTCCCCCTATAGTGACCCAGGAACAGGGAAAGTTCAGGAAATCTCAGACTGGGCCGAAACATCTGAGCTTTTTGTGTCATTGGCTCCACTTGGAACTTAAATTCAGAAATAAAACTACATACAGGTGAAGCCGGAGAATCTGGGTACCTTTTCAAATCAAACAATCCCAAATTAATAAGGTAGAAATCAGACAAAAGCCAGTTTTTAACCATTTTAATTCTGTTGTTTTCCATTCAGATCCCAAACTATGCAACCTTTTCATCTGAGGCATTCCTATTCATGATCTAACTGCGATATAATGAAATTACAATCTTCCAGCTCACAGTTCTCATAAAACTGACACATTCTCTTAGCCTGGCAAGCCTGAATATATAATCTGGCCACGACCCATAGACGGAGCTTAGTCATGGGGTGGAATCTACGGTTGTCTTTCAGATTGTCTCTGCACGCTATCGGACAATGAATGATGTGACAAACTTTCTGCTACGAATATCAGTCAGCGGGGCAGTCCACCAAACACTGTCAAAGAGGATGCAAATTCGTCATTTTTCTAAGTAAAGGACTTAAGTACCTCTATCTGATCTTGACTCAAAAAAAAAAAAGCCCAAGTCTAAATAGTCCAAAGCTGGAAAATGACGAAACTCTTAGTCTTAGTTGATCCGCTCAGTCGCAGTCATTCTGGCCACCAAACTGGTAGAGCGCTGTGATTGGCATGACACAAAACTGTTCAGACCAATGGTGGACCTGCTGAGGGTACAATGGAGCACGGCTAGACCAATCTGCATAGCTACATCTTTTGCTTCTGCTACGGCTAATGTTATCTGGCTTCAGCTGAGGTATCCTGGTGGTTCTGGTTGTCCTACATTGAGGCAAGGAGATCTGAGTAAATGCAGCGGAGAGGGAGATCAGCCTAATGACCATTTCCCCCTGAAGGATTTCTGGGCATATCTAACAGGGAGGAGGCATTTGGGAAGATCTAAAACTCACTTGGGAATATCAAGATTGGCTGGACAAGGTTACTATGGAGAGGGATTTCAGAGATGCACTCCAGCACCTGTCACCTACATGACCTTAGCTTTAATAAGTGGCCAGTGGCAACAATGTAGCCAACCATCCATCCTTCCATTCATCCACCCACTTTCCTCCACTTATCTAGAGTTGGGGGCAGTAGCCTAAGCAGGGAGGCCCAGACTTCCCTCTTCTCAGCTACTCGGGCCACTCCTCTGGGGGAATCCCAAGGTGTTCCCTGGCCAGCGAGGGATGTAGTCCCTCCAGCGTGTCATGGATTTTTCTTTATGCCTCCTCCCGGTTGAACATGCCCAGAAAACCTCACGAGGGAGGTGTCCAGGAGGTACCCTAACCAGATGCCTGAGCCACCTCAACTGGCTCCTTTCAATGTGGAGGAGCAGCGGGTCTACTCTGAGCCCCTCGCGGATGACTGAGTTTCTCACCCTATCTCTAAAGCCGGGCGGACACTGTGCGACTTTTTCACTCGTAGCACTCAGCTTCAGCTCAAACTGTAAGACTTCCTCGCAGGGCAGATCTCACGAGTCATGCGCTCACACTGCACGACCCAGTTCTCGGATGCGACCTGACAGCTCACACTGTGCGTCTGCTAGCAACACGTCGGACCTAAAAATATGCTAAAAATGGCAGTTTTTACACAACACGTCAGACTTTTTTGTCTTGCCTGTTGTCCTTTGGGAGTGCTGCAGGAGGACACACAGCGATTTATGGGGGTTGGATGAGGAAAACGAAATAAAGAAAGTAAATCTGTGTTTTGTGATCAGTTTAATTTGACATGAACACGACAAACACGCTTTCATGACAATCTTTGTGAGTAAAAAAACGTGTAGAAATAAAAACGAACAACGTGTGTTATTAGGGAAACAGCGGGCGAGCGGTGTTGATGCAAGATTGCGCATGCACAGTGAGCGGTTCTGGTACTTTTTGGGTCGAAGCTGCTCGCAGCGCCTCTTCAACAGTGCGATACCCTCACGAGGAACGAGCTAAATATCAAACACTCCAGAAGTCCGTGCGAGCTCACGATTGCTGATCGGTAGCTGGTCACGTGGTGTTAATCGCCTCTCGTAACCCCCTGTACACTACACGACGCTCAGTGCAAAACTCGCCCCGATCTTGTGGATTTTCGCACGAGTGGAAAATCGGCTCCAAAAAGGGAAAAAATCGCACAGTGTACGCCCGGCTTAAGAGAGCCCAGCCACTCTGTGGAGAAAACTCATTTTGGCCGCTTCACTGCCCAACACTAACCCCAATGCTGCTCGTAACTCTTTATGGACATTTCCTGATGATTATGCACCCGATGGAAAGCCAGGGTAAGGTTCTTGCTTCCAAAGAAGCTGGAATTACAAAAAGAGAAATGGAAAGGTAGGCAATCTGTTTAAGTATTAATAAAGACATTTTCCAGGTCTCCCTCAGAGATTCAAACAGTAGTAAAGGATTTCTGCCAAGTTTCTGCCGTTTATCTTTGTTTACTGTTGTCGTCGTCATCTTCCTCTGCTTATCCGGGTCCGGGTCGCAGGGGCAGCATCCCAACTAGGGAGTTCCAGACCGTCCTCTCCCCAGCCACCTCCACCAGCTCCTCCGGCAGGACCCCAAGGCGTTCCCGGACCAGATTGGAGATGTAACCTCTCCAACGTGTCCTGGGTCGACCCGGGGGCCTCCTGCCAGCAGGACATGTCCGAAAAACCTCACCAGGGAGGCGTCCAGGAGGCATCCTGACCAAATGCCCAAACCACCTCAACTGACTCCTTTCTATACGGAGGAGCAGCGGTTCTACTCCGAGTCCCTCCTGAATGTCCGAGCTCCTCACCCTATCTCTAAGGCTGAGCCCGGCCACCCTACGGAGGAAACTCATTTCGGCCGCTTTTCCACGATCTTGTTCTTTCGGTCATTACCCAAAGCTCATGACCATAGGTGAGGATTGGGACGTAGATCGACCGGTAAATCGAGAGCCTGGCTTTCTGGCTCAGCTCCCTCTTCACCACGACAGATCGGCTCAGCGTCCGCATCACTGCAGACGCCGAACCAATCCACCTGTCGATCTCCCGATCCCTCCTACCCTCACTCGCGAACAAGACCCCGAGATACTTAAACTCCTCCACTTGAGGTAGGACCTCTCCCCCGACCCGGAGTTGGCAAGCCACCCTTTTCCGGTCGAGAACCATGGTCTCAGATTTGGAGGTGCTGATCCTCATCCCAGCCGCTTCACACTCGGCCGCGAACCTCTTTGTATACTGTTAATTAAAAAAATCCCTTTAATCTTTCTCTCATTACTTTTTTGACTAATTTGCAAAAACAGATCAAGAAGTTACCAAAATCTACTATCACTGTAATATTAAACCCAATTTTTCTCTATTTGTACTTTTTTATCTGTCAGAACATTTTCCTTCTGTTGTCGGTTTTCCTGCCACGGGTTTCCAGCAATGACCGTAAGCCGCACTCTGCCTTTTTCGCTACTGCACTCTCACACAATGTCTGAGGGAATGTACAGCACAGCAGCAAATCGACTGACACTTGCATGTTTTTTCTTGCTAGAAAAATCGTCATAAATCAGGACGCTTCAACATACTTTTTCCAATTTATCTAAAATTGTCCCTCCAGAAACCTAGATGGGTATTGCAGACATCCCTGAAAACACACTCAAGGAGGTTGAAGGTTTGATTCTGCTGCAGGTCAGAAATAGCAGTGGGTTAAAACAGTTGTGGGTTTGATTGTGCATGATTGTGACAGGCAGGGAGCTCAGGGTGAACCTCCACCATGGCCTAAAAGCCTCTGAGATGACTTACAGATGAGAGCGGGGAGCTTAAAGACAAAGCCGCTGCTTTATTGCTGTTTTAGCTTTTATTTTACACTACGTTTCAGATTTTCACCTGAAAAAGATAAAAAGGTGTCATCCTTCAATTCTCCCTGCGTCACGAAGCTCTGCCAGCTCACACAAAACTGCTAATTAGACAGGACAACAGCTCCAACTTACCCAGTTTATTCTTGTGAATGACATGGATCTCATCTCTGTTCTGAAAAAGACAGAAAGACTCTTTAATAAATCATGCAACAGCCTTCTCATAACCCACATTCACCCTCTTTTTGTTTCAACAACAAACACAATAAAAGGTTTTGATCTTTGTCTAAATAGTCTGCTCTGCTTCCTAATCACTAATGAAGAATTAATGATTCTAAGTATTGAATCCCCTATGGCTTATTTGGAGGAATAATGGGCGACACCCCACGTCATTAGTCCTTCCTAATTGTGTGGGTTTTTGCGCCTGCAGCGTTTAAGCTCCAAGTTTTCAGCTCAATTAAGGCTCTGTTCCACCTTCAGAGTTGTCAGCGCACGCTGCAGACCACAGAGGGAAGGCTAAATCAATCACGAGAAACTTTTGAGGAACAATTTTCACCTCCGCCTTTTGGAGGGAAATCGTTCGGGTTGGGAGAAGGCAAAAACGTTTGAGCTCCACAGCGAGAGCGGAACTGTATTAATAGATAATGATGAATTGAGTTTGATTTATGACTTCCTCTAGACTAACAATCGTTCCACTGGCGAGCTGTTGCAGGCGTCGGAGAGCCTAACGAAGTCATAAATTCTCTCCCAGACAGCTCGGTACAGTGCTTACAAGGAATAACAACAGTGCAATGGCGGTTGAGCTTGTAAAACTCCACTCAATTTTTGGAGGATTAACAATTTTCATAATAAGGTGCATCTTATAAAAACAAGCCAGTCACAGGTAGGGATGGGTACCTTTGACATTTGAATCGATTCGGTACTAATTCCCGGTACCTAGGAATCGATACAATGGAACCAATTTTAGATACTTTTGAGTGTTTAATATTTTAACTCTCTTTTATAATTAAAGATATATTTTTCTCAATATATAACCATATTTGATAAATATCACGATAAATAACATACAACTGTTTGTATTTTAACATCGTCCTTGTAGTTTCATAAGCTGATAATTAAACTGAAGCAAACATCTTTACTGTGAACTAAATTTACTGTGTATCTTCATTCCTTTTGCTGTCCTTTTTCATTTGATTTTTCCTACTGGGAAGTTAGAATTTCCGAGGAGAAAGCGAACGCACCATTAGCTGATCACAATGGTGGCAATGGAAGCTAATTTATCAAGCTAACGTTACCTTAAACAGTTTATTTAGCTGCTAGAGCAGATTAAAACGATGATGCCTCACACTTAGATCGTTGTCGCTGGTTTCATCTTCACCCAATCACCCGTCGCATTTAGTAAAGTGAAGCCAAACTTTAGAGCGCGTTCATGTTCTTCTAGTCGGAAATTCGGAGTTCCGAGGAGAAAGCGAACGCACCATTAGTGAAACGGAAGCTAACATATCAAGCTAACGTTATCTTAACATTTTATTTACCTACCGGAGCAGATTAAGATGACGATGTCTCACTTAGATCGTTGTCGCTGGTTTCATCATCACCCAGTTACCCATCACATTTAGTGAAGTGGACCCAAGCTTTAGCGTGCGTTCTTTCTACCATGCTGCTCTGTTTACAAATGGCTCGCAGCGACCGACGACATAACGCTCTTGCGCATGCGCAGCTGTCTAGGCAAGTTCTCGTTATGAAGGACGGGTACCGAAATGAGGCACCGTTTCAAATGACGTGAGTCAGTGCTCAGTCGGTACTGTGGAATTCAGTTGGTACCTTAAAAAGTACCGAATTCGGTACCCAACGCTAGTCACAGGTAATTTATCATTCTAATTTTTCCCATTTAAACAAGCACTAAATGAGATGGAGAATAAAACAAAAAAAAAAAGTTCAGCAACTATGCAGATATGCATGTGAGAAGATCCGAGTCGTCACTTTTTCCCCGCTCATGTGATCAGCGTTGGATGCAAATGTACGCACAGGCAGGCAAGATCATATCAGGGTGATTTGATTCAGCAGGCGCATCAGCTTAATTGGACTCAGTAGCATTAGTCATGGCCACAAGGTTTCTGTCTTTTCTCATCACACCATCCTTGTTTGAAATCATTTTCCTAGCTGAAGACGAGTAGACACCTCCAGGGTAGAACAAGTTGTCTCCTCCAGCTCACAACACTGAGAAATCGGACTCGTTATCAGATAATTACACTTGTGAGATCTCTTCAACTTCTAAATAACACCCTGTTTAGTGGGTTATTACAAAGAGGAAAAAAAAAACAGAGGCAAATAATCATAAAACAAATGAGGACAAGAATGTAGAAGGTAAGTGTGAGCGAGGAGTTGTTCACCCCCGTCCGCTTTAGCAGGGAGGAAACAGAAAACCACCGCACCGTGACGGCCGAGTGAAACTCGATTAACTGCTCTGTCAGACTCACTAATTAAACTGATTGTGCACTGGCTGTACAGCTATGTATGCATCTAATATATGATTTCACTGCATATGACCCCCAAAGAAGACCTGACGGGTTTTAATTAGGCTTCAGCCCAAATCTCAGCATCCAGCAGAGAAGTAGATTCCTCCACTGCTGCCTTTAACCAATCATGTTCTGCCTTATTCAGAACAGTAGCAGTCTAAGCTGTGGCGAGTCTGGACAAAAAAAGGCATTTATTTTAATTTGAGTACTGTTTTTTGGCACAGTGAGGGTCGTGTTGCAGCTGCCTCCAGCAAGCAAACAAAAAATCGCAGTAGGTCATTTAGCAGACAAACAAAATCTGGCCCTGGCTTCTGCAACACAGCATCTAGCATGGCCGTTATTTAGCTCTCAGTCTGGGCAGATGCCTTTCTTGTTGCTATGATTTGCTTTGAGGAACAAAAACTTCTGTGCTGTGATCTTTTTCCACACTTGTGCTACAGCGTTGCTGTCCTAGGTGCCTCTTCCTTCTGGTTAATCTTCAAGTCCATAAACACATTAGTCAACCTGGAATTCTTGGGTCATATTTTATTATCTCATGGGTACTTGTTCCCTCAAAACACTGTGTGCTTATTAATGCCAAGCTATTTGTGTCAGAACACCTGCTTAAGCTACCTGGATAATGCAACGTTTTATCTATTTTTAATTTGAACCTTGAAAATCATGAAAGAATGTATAGCACCTACTGATTTACATGTCCGAGTTTAAAAATGGGTGACATGAGGACCAGATAGCAGTGGTTCACTCCTTTAATCAACACACAGTGGTCTCTAGTAGGAATGAATGCCTTGTAAGTCATTCTCAGGAGGGAAAATACACCATTGCCCCATTTCTAGGAACTAAAAGTGACTCATCACAGCTGAGCTTCAGATGGCGGGTGTTGGACTCTTATCTTCTGATACTTGGACATCTCGCCCTGGATTGGATAAAAGCAGTGCAACTCTACCACTGACTTTCAACATGGATGTTTTATTTCCTCAAAAAATGTAAGCCTGGAGGAGTTCTGCTGTGTGGTGGTGTTGCTAATGCTAACAGCTAGCTTCTACTAGCTGAGATGTTCTCTGCTTTTTCCTCAATGCTAAACCAACAACAGCCTCGCCCATCTTGATTCACGATGGGTGAGTCCATGAATGTTAAGTGACAGTGTGACGTAGATCTGTCAGGCCTTTCAGTTCAATTCAATGCAATTCAATTCAAGTTTATTTATAAAGCGCCAAATCACGACAAGAGTCGTCTCAAGGCACTTCACATAATAAACATTCCAATTCAGGTCAGTTCATTAAGCCAATCAGAACAAAGTTTCCTATATAAGGAACCCAGCAAATTGCATCAAGTCACTGACTAGTGTCAGAGTCTTTACAGCAATCCTCATACTAAGAAAGCATGCAGCGACAGTGGAGAGGAAAACTCCCTTTTAACAGGGAGAAACCTCGAGGATCCTGGCTCAGTATAAGCAGCCATCCTCCACGACTCACTGGGGATCAAGAAGACAGAGCAGACACACACACACACACACACACACACACACACACACACACACACACACACAAACACACACACACACACACAAACACACACACACACACACACACACACACACACACACACAAACACACACACACACACACACACACACACACACACACACACACACACACACACACACACACACACACACACACAAACACACAAACACACACACACACACACACACACACACACACACACACAAACACACACACACACACACACACACACACACACACACACACACACACACACACACACACACACACACACACACACACACACACACACACACACACACACACACACACACACACACACACACACACACACACACACACACACACACAAACACAATCTAATTCTAATCCTAGAATTTCACCTGTTTTCTATCAGAAGCTACGGGAGATAGGTGTAGGAGACTACTTCCATCCTGCCTGAAAAACTCAGATTATAATCCGAAAAAATCATTAAAAATGGGTTTTTAGCAATCCACTTCTTTAATATTGTACAGGAGATTTTGAAATAAAACACATATAAATGTTCAAAAGGCATTTCTCTGAGTTTAGACCGTCTATCTGAGGAGTTTCGCCATCACGAGGTTTTGTCTGAATATCCACAACATTGATGGAGATGGAAAGATTTGATCTGAGATGATAAAAAAGACAAAGTAGTTCATTTCTACATGAGAAATCTCCTCGAGGAAACAGCCCACTTAGTATGACTGTTGTTTAATCAAGGGTACCTGCAAAGAGAAATCCTTGAGCCCTGCCTTTGATCTGAAACCTCTACACGTCCTCTTCTCCATCTCGAGTCCCTGCGAACGCAGGAGCTACACACACGTTCGTGACCTATCATTTCACATCCGTTTCTGTTTACTGGTGGCAACGATGGAAGGTTGTCAGACGTTTCTGTACTTTGTCATGTCAAGAGCACACCAATCATGTGAAAGGTCATCTTAATTCTGTGGATGTTTTATTTTTATTTTTGTTGTTGTTCTTGCCTAAATCATATAAAATGTCAGCTCTCATCCACAGGTTATGAAAATAACTGGTGGTCGTGACTCATGTGAGCATCACCTGTTTAGAACGGTTTCTGCTTTTTTTTAATTAAAAATGTAGGAAATTAAAAA